ATTAAAAGTCATGTTCATGTCTATTGAATTCTAGTTTGTTGGGAATAGAAAACAAGAACTTCTAAGTAAATAATCCCCATGGTCCTCTATGCTGAAAAAGGGCAAATGATCCAGTATATAGTTATTATACAATTGGACATAGAGAACTAAGTTGAGCTAGCCTCTAGGCCAGGTTAGTACATCAGGAAAAAATGGGGGAATAAAGGCAGAAAAAAGTCCTAGTGCCATGCTTTAACAATTGGGCAAATTTAAAAAAAAAAAAAAAAAATTGCTAATGATCTCTTCCTAGTTAAAAATCACCTCCCAGTTAAATTGGCAGAAGAGTCTCAATGATTTCAAAGGCAACTGGGCCAATCTCTTTCCTAAAATATTGCAGGGTTGTTTTTTTTTATTCATGCTATTACACCAGTTGACCAACTCAGGCTGGCTCCTATGATTTTGTTGCTGGCAATTTTTTCCAGATATTCAATGCTATTGAATATCTGACAAGAAGAAGCTTTACATAAATATCAATGCTTGAGTCAGACTTAAGGAGAAAAAGTGAAGGCCAGGTATTTTATTAACACTGTGTTGTAGCTCTTTATATTTAACAAGTCATGGGGTGCAGATCTTACCTCTGAGATCCCTGCTACTACCAGCAATTGTCCCCACACATAATATGTATATTAACTCACTTAAATGAGATGTTAACTGACTTTTTTTTTTTTTTTGCTGCAGTTTGGAATAGTCACCTGCACCCACAAACTTAACTTTGAAAATTCAGAATTCCCTTATGTTTAGTAATACATATAAAATATTTTTAGCTACCCTTACAGTTAATAATTAACTATGGTTGTCTCAATTGCTTGATTTTTTTTGTTGTTTTCAATTATAAAAAAACATCAAGTGGGCTGCTCAAAAGGAAGAAACTGTAAAGGTCACAGATACTTCACCATCCTGTTCTGACAGTGCTAGCTTTTAATTGTAATGTGGGGTTTCCCTACTATAGGTAAAGTTCCCATATTTACAGAAGTCAATATATGTATACTATATTCAGTCCCAGAGAAATGAGCTTAATAGTGCAGGCATCAATATATCTGCAGAAAGATTAATTTTATTTCAAATAAAACTGTTTTCTTCCACCGTCCTCCTTTCTTGCACTGGCAGAACCAAACAGTGGTTAAAGCTGTTGCGTGATAAAAATTTCCTACTATTCACATTGCTCACTGTTTGCTCAGCTGTGGTGCTAGCTAACAAAAGATAGTCATTGTAATCTGTGATCCAATGAGAGGCTATGGGAATAACTTTTTCATTCTGTTGATACTGTTGGAGATCTTGCCCTTTTGTCTTTCCACTGCCAAATAAAACTCTCATATCCAGATGAAGTAGCATTGCAAACTGGGCTAACTGGTCTCACTGGCTGTATGACATAGTGGTAAGACTCTGATTTAACTCTGCCAAATGTGCAGTAAAGATGCACCATAAACCCTTCAGATAAACAGATTTTAAGTGCCTTCCTATTTTCCCTGTCTTCAACAAAGCAAAAAGCTTCTCTGACCAGTATTTTAAAAATAATCGTGAAAGACATATATACTGTATGCTGCACATGGTAGTGACATACATTCATTAGAGGAAACTATGTAATCTGATAACTCAGGCTTGGCTTTTGTATAATTTACAGCTTTGAAAAATTTTCTAAGTAGTAGCTGCCTGCAATAACACTGAAGCATTCAAATGTTTCAGCCTCAAGCACTCACTATTAGACAGGTGGATATTTACTGCAGTGATTAAGTTGCATTTGCAATACCCTCTGTGTCAAATGATGAAGGGCTGAGGGCTGTCCTACACAGCCCCTCCAAACTCTAACAGTGTTGTTCAAAATCAAATGTCAGCCATACTACAAGTATGTGTAATATGAGTGTTTTACAAAAGCATGTCTGTCTTCAAGCAACACAGAAATGGCTTGGCAACAACCTGAGAGCCAAACCAGACTCTTTGGAATTTCCTTGTTACAGCATCATAGCTCTTTATATTTAACAAGTCATGGGCTGCAGCTTCACATCTGAAAACAAACGGAATTTTTTAACCAAACTCTAGCACAAAAGGGGGTGTGTTAGACACAAGAGAAGTACATAACCAAATCCTGAAATCAGAAAATTAGCACTAAATTATATTCTATACTTTTTTCTCCAGTAAGCTACCCACAAGCTGAAACTTTGCTTTTCTTCCCAAACAGGTACTTCTATGGCAGGAGGTACTTCTATGGCTACATAAGCTATCTCCTGTAAAAAGCTTGTGGAGATAAGGCTGTAGTTTTTGGCACAACATAGGTAGGTCAGTTCAATAATTAATGCAGATATTATGTTGGATATAATGTTGAAATTGCCCAATTATATCAAGGTAACATGACTGCTCTACCTTCAGAAAAATCCTAGTGAATTTTAATAATTCTTGTAAGTTACGTCATCACAAGAAAATTTGTTAGAAGTATGTTGATCAGTTACTTAGGTTTCCCTTCCACTAGGAGCATGTATGTTTTGGAGTCAAGAAAGAATTCATATATTTTGAAAGAAATTGCGTATAGTGTCAGTCAGGACAGAAAGTGGCCTAGTGTATTATATGTATCTCTTTGTCTCATATACTTGCTTAATGGCCAGTGGAGATAGGAAAGTATTAACTATATGCAGCACTCTGCATGTATAATTATACCATCTTCTGAGCATTTCTGCATGACTGTTGTTCTGGCATGACGGTGGTATTACTGCTGTACTAATTAAGAGTAACTTGTCTAGTAAAATGAGCAAAGAGCCACAAATGAAGTGCATATCAAGTTTTCTCTCCTTCAAGCATGGGTTTTGAGAGTCAGGCCACAGCTCTGACTTCTGCTTTCTAAGGGTTCCTGATCAGAGCAGGCTGATAACTAAAGCTGTTGGAAAAGCCAGTTGTATATCCACACCTATCTTTTTTATTCTTATTGCCATCACAGCGCATTGAATTAATAGTACCTAACCTTGATTATTGCTATGGTACTACACAAATGCAGAACCAAAATCAATTACTACTTTCTACGTAAATTAGAAAAGCAATATCTACCAACTTCATCTGTGGACAAGAAGTATTTTTCAGGGTGTCTGCTACAACCTAAATAAGCTTTTTATCTGAGACAAGCCTGTATTTGTATTCTTTACATACAATTCTGCATTCAGACCCTCTAGGCTCATACTCTTTCTCTACTAGGGTAGACAAAATAGTGCAAAAGCCAGCCTTCTAATTGTCACAGTTGTAATGTCCCTTTGTTCTAAAAACAAACATTCCCCTTGTCCCCAAGTAGTCCACTGCACAATTTTTACTTCCTGCTGGGCAGGATTCCTTTGGCTACCATTGAATCTAATTTAAAAATTGATGCCCAGAATTTTGACTATTTCCTGAAGTTCTGGGGTCTTTTGCTTTGGATATCAATGAGATGGGCAATTCTGTCTGTCCGAGCTTACAGCATTTGGTGTTAAAAACCTTGTCTTCTCTATAAAGTTACAAGGCCAGCAGTGGGTTATTTGGTCTAGCCACACCCTTTAAAAAAGAGCAAATACATGGCATAACCTCTGTTTATGAAAACATTGTAGTATGAAAAAAAAAAATCCAAAATTTTATGTATGTTAAATTACTAAAGAAAACAAAAGGATGCATTTGTAAGCACTTTTCCATTTTGGAAGCTAAAACAAATGGCAGTGATTTCACACACAGATACCTGGGCTAAAAGTCCCCTTCCTTGCCACCAATCCACAAGAATTACAAAGCAGCACAGCAGAGAAACTTGACCTTCACAGAAGAGTGGTTGAGAAAAGGATGTTGCTAGGAAGGTGAGGTCTGCATATTGTTAGCATATGAATTTTCATATGCATTCAAATTTAATGCAAGCAAAACAGACTGTTATTTATAGAGCATTGAAGCAGTATCCAGGTCTCTAAAGATTATACAGAAAAGGGAGAAAAATGACTGGATATAAAGAAGACTTGTTTCTCTGAAAGTCAGTTCTGGAAGTCTAAGCTTTCCATTTGAAAAGATGGAGCAGCTGCAATAGTGCAGTTTGAGGCTTTTTGACCACTGATAGAAGTCATATTTGCTAGTCTGGAAGTTTGCTGAAACAACTATGCTTTGTTTCAGTTTGACATTATTCTGTCTGCATGAGGTTCTACAGTTCTTCTGTCAAAAAATAGTTCAAATTCTATATTTTCCTATTCTTCTCTTTTAAAGTTAATATTCCTTACCCATCTCTTCTATACTGTGGCATACAATGACAATTAGGCTGAAGAGGCATTGTAATGCAATATAAAAACAATAGCCACACAGAGAACCCCTTTTAGTGGATTTTTCACAAGACAGTTTTGATACCATTCTGATGTAAAACCAGTTATTAGTGCTCTAGACCTGCACAGCTCTGAGAATACTATGACAGTTCTTATTGAACACTCAGTGAAAAATATGAAGTTAATTTCCTTGTAAGACAGAAAAGGAATTTGCCCTCAGGACCTCAAAGGAATTTTAGATGTGACAAAAGACCACGTAGGTACAATCTACAAGCGTATCAAAGTGTCATTCCTCTCAGCCAGAGCATCTTCTCTCTCTGAAATGACAAATTTTGTGAAAAATGTCTTACCCTTATATCTCAGAATAGCATACTTCCATTTATCTTCTGGACAATACCACATGGAAATGAAAGGCTACCTGCATTTCAGGACAACAGAGATGACCTTTATAGTTTGCATTAAAAAGCCCTGCCATTCAGACTTTGATGCTTTTCATTTAGGAGTTTCTATATAGTAGAATTTTAAAAATGTGGGCTACTGTCATATTATACCAATGTATGTGATGGCTTTGGCTTATCATCCAGAAAGTTTAGTTTAAAATTTAGTGTTTGATGATTTCATTAGTGACTAACATTACAGAACAGTTGAGTGTCAGTAAAACCATACAGGAAGAGAAACTTCAGACTATGGAACGTAAAGGAAATAAAAATTAATTACCTTGAGCTAGTGTGCACTTATATAGTCACTTTTCCCTCAGTCTTTATATTAAACTTTAGCTAACATAAAAAATTGTAACTGTAGATTGCAAACACACACAAGAATTCAATTTTCCAATTCTAAAATTCTGTATATTAAAAAACTCACAAAACTGTATTGTTATTACAATTATGAAAATGTTATAAGTACAGAGATGTGGAACTCTACACTAAAGCAAAAATCCCCCAAATTATTATCAAAATGCAGAGGCTAAGATATCAGGCATTTACAAGAGAGAATAAGAACTATATTTTCATATTTAGGCATCTTGAATTAAAAAACTAAAATCTACTGGTCAGCACTGAAATATATACTGCAATTTTAAGTGCCATGTATTTGAAACTGCTATTTGATTTTAATGAGTTTTCTTCTATCTTTTACTAGCAAGATCAGAACCAGTTTCAAAGGTATGCTCTTAAAAATGCTTCAGGACTAAGTCAACTTCGATGCCAGGAAATTCAGTCTGAAAATTCTCCCATCTTTTTCAAGGAAGGAACACTAAGTTTAGAGTATTTCTAGTTTTTTACCTAGGGATTGCCAAATAGAGGTGATAGAAGTAAAGACGTACCTTGTAAAGATTATAACATGGCAGTGCAAATCAGTATGTTACGGCAACCAAAGCAACTTCAGCCCATCCTTAGCCTCTACTTCGTATACATTACTTACTGGTCTGTAAGCATCCTCTCTTCCCACCTTCCAAGTGGAAAGCAAAAGCCCTAAACTTGGTGTTCTCTTTGTAAAGATGGTAAGCAATACTGATCTGAATAGAAAATTTATTTTCTCCTCATTACACTTACTAAAACTTGCAAAGTTTGAATTTTCTTCTGCTTGTATGCTTTAGAAATCATCTAGTTATTTACCAGAGCTGAATAAATGGTAAGAAGAATCTGAATACTTAGTTTAAATTGAAAATGTAATTCCACTGTATACATGTCCTTTAAAGACTTCTAATTTGTAAGAGATTACATCAGGGTGTATGAGAGAAAACAGCCTCTTAATAGTTTTTGTGTTAAGTTTAAATCATTATTTTCAGCGTTAGTCCAATGGAAATTTGAATGAAAACTTTAAAAGTTATTCAATTCTCTAAACATTCATTATTTATATGGTTACAATTTATTTGGATTACTTAAAGTTTTCAAGCTTTTTAAAGTATTGCACCAACTATTGGGAAATGACCAGTTCTTCCCTGATTCTCCTGTTCATCTACTGTTATGTTTTTCATTTCTAGGATCACTAAGGTTTCTTAATGCCAAGTAGATTTCTACTTTCAAAAGCTATGAGAGTAAAACATAAATCAGTTTTCTCTACTAAGGCAGGAAATCTTTCCAGGATATAAATGAGAAAAAAATGTGAGGATAAAAAGATCCCAGTCCTTTCATACAGTGACATTGCACTGTTTACACAATACACGATCTTTGAATACACATACAGTAAGGAAAGCAATAAGTGTTTATGGTCATAATGAAACTTCAAAGTGTGCTTTGCATCAAACACTTTAATATTTGAGACTGTTTGAAGTATGGAATCTTTTATAACCAGAGCTGATTCCCAGAGACATATTGATAGAATTACAGATTGTGGTGGCTAGATAAGGTTTCAGCTCACGTAAATCTTCCTTTAAAATTCATGAGCATTAAAAAGAGTATTTAAACAAAGAAGAAATGTTGGTTTAGGACCTGACACAACCTTCACTAGGTCTGATAACCACTCAATTTGAAATGACATTGTGAGCAAATTACTCAGTGCTTAGAGACTTCCAGTACCTTCCCCTGTTGGGAGTTCATGACAACAGAGAAATATCCCACAATAAATTCGTAAAGAGTTACAGATAGCTTATAATGCCATGAAGAAAAGGCATATGTCCTAATACCATGGGACAGACTATTCAACATGTTAATAAATTACCTGAGAAAAAAAGTGGTACTGAAGTGGCAAAGTTTTCTGTTTAAACTACGGTTATCCAGTAGAATAAAAATAAGCTATAAGGAAGTAGAGAAGGAAAAGGGTCACTGGGTAATAAAATAGCAGAGGAAATGTGGTGTAGATAAAAGCAAAGTGAGGCACAGGAAAAATATAATCCTAAATTTACATGTACAGCATGTGACTGCAAGTTGAGTAATAACAATCAGGATTGGGATTTTAAGTTTATGGCAGGTTATATAGTTCTGTGAAAACATTGCGTCAGTTCTTGATGATAGAAAAACAAAGTAGGGAACAGAACAGAAAAATCTCACAGTTTTACCATACATAACACAGTATTACAATACCTACCATTTGAACATTGTGTGTATCTTATGATTTGAAGATGTTAACCATCTTTAAAGGATATAGTAGAACCAAAGATTACAGAGAACTGGGCAAAAGAATGACCAAAGATAAGGAATAGTTTTCTATGTAGATATATCATCTTGGAAAACAAGTAACTAAGGAGGGGTATAATTAAAGAATATAAATCCACACATTTAACAGAAAAAGCAAATAGAGGATAATTATTTAATGTATTTCCTAATGTAAGAGTGAATGTGCAATAAAAGCAATTATTAAGTACTTAATAAAAAAGAAGCAGGTAGGTTTTTTACACAGCATGCAGTGGAACTCATTGCCACAGGATGTTGCACCACCCACCTCATATTAGTCTAAAAGAGATTAGACAAATGGACAGGAAATATCTCTCAAGGACAATTAAAGAAAAGATATCACCTTTTATAGTGCATCTGAACAAATGACACTTGAATTAGCTGTTACTGCTAGCTGGGAAATATTGGAGAACTGTGGCAACAATATGGTGTCATACTTTTCCCAAATATTTCTCTGACTGTGAATACTGAACGTAGGACTCTGGGCCAGATGAACCATATGTCAGAGTGCAGCTATTTCTTGTCCTAACAGTGATGACAATACCAGTAAGAACACAATGACTTCCATACAGCTTTGCAATGTGGCAGACCACAGCTGTCCAAGCTTAGTGTCACATGAGCTAAGTTAATGCATCAATGAAGACAGCCCCTGAGAATCCGATGAAAGCTTCATCCAAGAACTGCCGTAAAGTATCAGCTTACATATACAAGGTCAGCTGAGAACTTTAATAACAAGGCAGTAATGTTATAAAGTGCACATTATATAACACTGTTGTTTGATTTTAAATCAATTATAGATAATCAAAAGATAGTGTCAACAGAATGGCTGATGGTTCCACAGGCTAACTGAATGCTATTATTTTCTCATAATATCATAAAACAATCCTATTCTGCTCTTAAAACAAAAAAAATCAGAACAGCCAACACTAGCCTCCAGCAACACAAAGGCAGGAACTTTGTACAGAATGTTCTGAAACAATAGCAGCCTTCCAGTATCTGAAGGGAGCATATAGGATGCTGGGGAGGGACTCTTCATTAGGGACTGTAGTGATAGGACAAGGGGTAATGGATTAAAACTTAAACAGGGGAAGTCTGGATTAGATATAAGGAGGAAGTTCTTTACTGTGAGGGTGATAAGGCACTGGAGTGGGTTGCGCAAGGAAGTCGTGAATGCTTCATCCCTGGCAGTGTTCAAGGCCAGGCTGGACAGAGCCTTGGGTGAGATGGTTTAGTTTGAGGTGTCCCTGTTCAAGGCAGGGGGGTTGGAACTAGATGATCTTAAGTCCTTTCCAACCCCAACTGTTCTATGATTCTATGATTCTATGATACGTCACAAAAGCCTTTCACCGTAATGTGAGCCAAAATAGTCACTTTTAATCCCAGTTACAACTCTGATGTATTTTTAAGAATGATATTACTATAACAGTAGAGAGACTAGACATAATCATTCACATTTCTGCTATGTCTTAAGTTAGCAAGAAATTTGGTGCAACAGGATTCAAGCAGTAACTCAAAGGTGCTGCTGCTGAGATCCCCAACCCTCAATATGATGAAGCTTACAAGTTTTACTTTAGACTAAATTTACTCTGCCCCTCTAAACTTAACACTCACAATGGCCATACAGCCCAAAGCTGCACAAAGTTGTTGTTTTGAATCTGGCATCCCCATTAAAGGCTGGTGTGCATCTTGAGCACAACTGACAGTTTAGGTCCCTCTGAAAAGAATTGCTCTTTGTGCATACCAGAGCCACTTGTGAAGCAAATTGATGTGTCATGTAGGTAGCTACAGCTAGGGAATTCTCTTTATTACTGCTCCACTCTTTACAGTCTGTAATACCGAGAATTCTTTAACTGCTCATTAAAACCAGTTAAGGAATTGTATTGGTTAAGTATGAGAGAATCAAAGAATTGTTGATGGTGGAAGGGGCCTTTGAAGGTCTCCTTTCCAAAACCCCTGCTCCAGCAATGCCATGTATGGCTGCTTACTTGGGACTGTGTCTACATGCTTATTGAGTATCTCTAAGGCTGGAGACTCACAACCTCCCTGGGCAACCTATTCCAGTCCTCGGTGACCCTTACAGCAAAAAAGTGTTTTCCAGTAATCATACAGAACACCCTAAGTGTTTCACTTAGCACCCATTGCCCCTGTCCTGTCACTATCCACCACTGGAATGAACCTGACTGTCTTCTTTGCAACCTCCCTTCAGGTATTTAGAAATATTAATATGAATCCCCAAAAAGACTTCTCTTCTCCAGGCTAAACAGCCTCAGTTTGCTCACCCTTTCCTCATATGTGAGTTGCCCCTGTCCCTTAATTATCCTTGTGACCCTTTGATGAACTCTTTCCAATATGTACTTGTACTGGTGAGCCCAGAGCTGGACATAGCTTTACAGGTATGGCCTCACCAAAGCTGAATAAAATGGAAGGATCACCACCCTCAACCTGGCAACACTTTGTCTAATGCAGCCATGGATACCATTCTTTGCAGCAGAGACATATTACTGGGTCATGTTCAACCTAGTGTTCACCAGAACTTCAGGGCCTTTTCTGACAAGCTGCTTTCCAGCTATGTGCCCTCAGCATATACATGTGGTTGTTCCTCCCCATGTGCAGGACTTCGCATTTCTCTTTTTTGAACCTTCATGTCAGCTCATTTCTCCAGCCTGTCAAGGACCTTCTGAATGGCATCACAGCCCTCTGTCATATCAGCCACCCCTCCCCATTTGGTGTCATCTGCAGACTTGCTGGGGGTACACTGCCCCATCATCCATCTCATTAATGAAGATGTAAAACAGGTCTGGACCCAGTATTAACCCCTGGGGTACAGTGCTAGTCACTGGCCTCCAACTAGACTTTGCTTTGCTGATCACCACCCTCTGGGCCTGACCATTCAGCCAACTTTACATCCACTCCACCATCTGCTCATCCAGCCTGTATGTCAACATCCTGTTTATGAGGAGCTTATGAGGCATAGTGTTGTAGGCTTTTTTCCCTGTCTCCTCATCTATGAGGCCAGTCACTTCATCACATACTTTTATCAAGTTGTTCAAGCATGACTTCCTCCTTTTGTGTTTGAGTTTGCCCGGGAGCTACTTTTTTTGTCTACAAAGGACATCTGGCTTTTTTTGCCTGAGTTCTAATTTGTTGGGATGGAGTTTTCTTGAGCTTGGGGAGATGATCCTTGAATGTTAACCAGCTTTCCTGGGCTTTTATTCCCTCTAGGGCCTTATTCCACAGGACTCTTGCAAGCATATCCCTGAACAGGACAAAATCTGCTCTCCTGAAGTCCACGGTTGTGATCATGTTTTTTGCCCTGCTCACTCCTTCCTCCCTGGGTCCTGAATTCCATCATTTCATGGTCACTGCAGCCAAGCCACACCTTGTTGTTGAGCATGGGGTCCATCACAGCACCTGTCCTTGTTGGGTCCTCAGTCACTTCAAGGAGTAAGTTATCGTCAATGCACTCCTGGAACTTCCTGGTTTGCTTATGTCCTGCTGTATTGTCCCTCCCGATATTAAGGTGGTTGAAGTCCCCAGCACGAGCACCTGTGAATGTGAGGCTGTTACTATTTGTCTGTAGAAGGCTTCACCCACTTCTTTCTGTCTAGATGGCAGACACCTACTATGCTGTCACCTTTGACTGTCTTTTCTCTAATCCTAACCCATAAACTCTCCAACAGCTCCTTTTCCATCTTCAGGTAGAGCTCCATACACTCCAGGTGTACGCTCACACAAAGGGCAAATCTCCCCCCTCTTCCTTTCCTGTAACAAAAATGATCATTAAATTGCTATGATGTAAGAAAGTTCAATGGCCTCAGCCTATACTTTCAGAAATATCTGCAGCTCTCAGGGGCTTGCATTTCCAGATGGCAGCTGTTATCTTCAGACCAAAGAGGGAGTAACAGCACAAAGTATGATTCTTGTCAATGTTTTATTGTACATCTTCTTCCTTGTTTTGGAATTTCTAGTACATGACCAATCTGGTGAGGAAAGAGTTCCTTCTATAGGTTACATGATGAATCTGCTCCTTGGTTTTCGGGTTTTTTTCTTTTTAACTCAACATGGTTATGAAAAGCCACCTTGCTTCCTGCTGCCTGTAAGTACTTTGCTGTACTTACAGGCAAGGTTTGGTTTCATGGGGGTTTTGTGGGGTTTTTATTTCCTGAGCTGACAACTGCCCATGCACAAAACTCAGGATATTTGAAGATAAGGCTACAGCTACAAATTCCTAGCTATTTTGTCTGTACATTTCTTCTTTTTTTCAGCTTTCGAGACAATGATGCATTGCTCAGGGGAAAGATGTTTACAAAATTGTATTGATGACTAAAATGATAGCCAAGGCTGCTGTATGAGAAGAGGGTTATAAATAGGTGTCCCTGAAGAAAAGCAAAAAAAGAAGAACTTCATGTACCAAATTCTCTTCTTTTCTATGCCACATGACTTTCAAGTTATTAGACTGATTTCTGTGGCATTCCTCCAAGCTTAAACCAATATAGCCTGAGCAGACTTCACCTCACACTAATTAGCTGGTTTTCTTTAAATGTCATGTTCTAGGGAATGCAGTCAGTTGAATACGCAGTTATTTTCCCAATTCTTTTACGCCAGTTTTTGAGAAATGTATAATCCACGAAACCTATGGTATTATAGTTTTCCAATAAGGCACATTTGAAATACTTTGTACTGTCATATTTAATATCACATATCCTCATGTCACATTAAACTTGCATTTGTTGAAAACCAAGGGGTGATGACAGGCCAGAAATTTAATAACATAATATGTCTTGAGATCTCTACTATATATTTATCTTGCAGAAAGTTTTGCTTGGGAAAAAAAAAAAAAGATAAAGGAGGAAGTGGTAGAGGAAATTCTTTTTTTAACTGCTGAAGTACTATAAATGATACGGAAAATTTTTCCATCTCCCCCTTTACAGACAAAGATTGCTGTAGTAAATAAACATCTCTCTCCAACACTCATGTGCATGTGTTTTCTCTATGTCCAGTCCCAGTCATCACACAAGTTAATGAAAGTCATATTCTGCCTCTTCTAAGACTCTCCAACTGCCACAATTAAGCCAGTTCTCTAAAGTTCCTTTTTGTTGCAATTAATAAACAGTACTTTTTTGTTTGCTCACAATGAGAAGCATCTTTACTTTCTAGTTTTATTGCACTCCCGAAAAAAGAGTGCACTGCCCATTCTTATTCTGCAGGTAGCAAGATATATTTTACCTTGGGCTTTAAATAAATTGCTTTTAATTTTTACCTTACCGTTTAAATTCAGAAATTAAACTGAAAAGGTTTTATGCTGCTCTGAATCTAAGGACTAGCTTTTTAAGGAATTTATATCCCAGTTAATTATGTACCTTGATTTAAAGCAAGCTGTCTGCATATTTTGACTAAAATTCAGCATACTGTTAAGTTTTCAGTACAAAGGATCTGATTTGATTCTCACTAATGCCAGCAGTAGTGACTGGCTGGTATCAATGAAAACATGCTCTGATTCTGCAGAAAGCAGTAGTTTTAAGAAGAGTGTGATTTATTCATTGTTACGTCAAAAAAGATCAACTCTAGTTATAGTATTGAAGTCATTAAGACTTCAATATTTTTCATATTTATATGTAGATTATTATTTAAAAGAAAAAGGAAACTTATATGATCTTCAAACCCTTCCCATGAAATTTTCAGTTCATCTCTTTATATACTGAAAAAACAAGTCAAATACTGACTTTCTTGCTGAACAATGACTTTTACATCTGTATATATTTTAGACAATAATTCAACTGTATGCTTGCCATGGCACCTTACAATTAAATGGACACAGTGTATTTCTTGAGGTTTTATGTCCCTTTGCATTGTGTGTAGTTTCACTGTGGGAACTACTTTATGCTTGAAGATCCCCAGAGGCTTTTAAATACTATTCCAGCTTTACAGATGGGCAAATTGAAGTCAGAGATGCTAAAACTATGATAAAGCCATACAAATACTAATCAGCAGAGCAAGAACTAGAACATACTGGTCTTGACTGCCAGACTTCTACTCAAACTAGAGAGAATGATGCAAAAAGCAGATTGAAAATAATAAGCCAGAACAAAAAGGCAGAAAATGATCTGAATAGATGAGTAGTAACACTATTGACCGGGCAAATTATATTGTACATGCACAGCCAGAAATCAGTATGTGCAGTGAATGAGTTTATCAAACAGACAGAACAATCCATTGTGGTATGTCTTGATTGTTAGTGGTGCTGGCAGCTCAGCTGAACCTTACAGGGTAATTAGCTAAGGATAAATTAATCTGTTCTCAAATGTGGGCAGCTGATCTTTCCCAGGTTGTGAGCCTTGCTGAAAAGCATGTTGGTTGTATTTTTTTTTCTTTTAATGATTCATTTAGTCTTCCTTAGAACTTGAGTAAATAGTTGCATCTGCAGCTATGAAATATTACTTTAACATTTTAAAAGAATTTTTCTGAGTAAAAAAGCTGCATATGTTGGATTAATGTGGAACCATTTTCCAGTTAATACTGGATCTTTAGATTCTTTGTGTTGCAGGAAATATCACATAACTAGTCTCAAAGAAGACAAATATTTAGTTTTTGCAATACTGTCCTTAAATGGCTACGTGTAGCTTAGGCAAAAATGATTTGGCACAAATTTCTTTATTTTACTCAAGCTGCCATAAATGAGGTTTGTTCACAGCTCTCTGTTTTTTTAAAACTTGAGGTCCTGTTTCTTCTAAGCTGTCCTGGAACATACCTGGTTTCTGGCATATGTTTCTGTTTCAATGGTTCTGCTTTAAAGGCAGATATTTCCAAGTCCTCTTTGTGACACCAGGTCTTCTAGCTCTGCCTTATTAGAGCTGACAGGCTAAAAATATAATTGATATTTTAACTTTCTGCAAAGTATTTTTAAAAGGAAAGAAAAAAAAGAGAGAAGGGGAAACCACATTCAGGATACTTATTTTCTTTTAAAACCTGTTGAAATCACTTGCCATTAGTCCAAACCAGAAATGACGCTGCTCTGCACAAAGAACTAGTGTAACAGCCACCCTCTTTCCCCACATATACCTTCATTAAAAATTAAGGTTTATTCAAACTAATAAACATTTAAGCTGATTTTTTTCACCACATGAATTCTGTTGTGTATCCCATGGAAACCTGATTTTCACGTATTTTAATTCTTAAATATGGGCTATTTTATTTGAATGAACACACACTGTACACATAACCTGCTGGAGATACACCTCCTGTTGTGTGTCTGATGATGGTGGATGTAGTGTTTGTCAGAGGACATTGACCTTTCCTGTAGTGCTTCATACCTTGGGATGAAGACTGTTCATGGTTGAGGAAAACTGAGGAGGGGTGCATCAGGGCCTGGCCTCACAGAGGAGTACACCATCTGACCGGTAGTCTGAGCAACTCCCAGCTGCACAAGGCTGTCAAACAGAGAAGAAACAGAAGTAAAGCACCCTGAACAGATTCTCTCACCTTGCATTCCAGGCCACGTCCTTTCTCGTGGCTGGTTCAAGCCCAGCAGCTTGGGGGCTGGCTGGCTGGTGGCAGATTCAGTGCTGCTGCAGCCAGGTGCCCATGGCTGTCTCCTCTCTCCTCAGGCACCTGGCTGTGTACCTGCTTCCTCCTCCTTCCTCTGGGCTGGCGAGCTTTGCTGTGCTTCAGGGCTCACTCCTCACTTGGTCATTTCCCCACAGTAGTCCCCCCACCCCCTGCCGCCAACACCTTCCACAGTGCTCCCCTGGGGGGAGGGCTCAGTCCCTTTCTCCATCAAGAGCCTTTGACCTTGGCAGGAAGGACAAGCCGAGCCTGTGGCCTCCTCTACTGACAAGCCACAACCTTGGACAGGAACACAACAGGCTACATGAAATGGTGAACAAACAAAATAAAACAGATACGATGTTTCACAGCTGATAACTCTTGTGGAAACTGCAGCACGGAGGGGCCAGGGAGTGGGAGCAATTCTGAGGTGAGAAAAATACCCCCAGGCCTCAGCTGCTGTCCTCACTGCCATGGCAGGCATGGTGGCTCCATGGTTGGTTAGCAATAAGCTGTGGGGAGGAAGGCATGTCTGGGCACTAAGATGTCCATCTCTGTGAGGGCTACAGCAGACTTCAGCCGCCTTTGGGAAATCTGTCAGAATATGCCTGCAAGATTCACAAGACCACCCCAGCTCCCTTTGCAGCACCTCATCCCTCACCTCAGGTGTGGGTGAGATGAGTCTCATGGCAGGACACCCGGGCCAGAACAAGCAGGACATCACCAGAAGTGGCTTTTGCACAGGCACCCCACCTCTGCCCTCAGGTGGGGGAAGAGCCCTCCACATTGCCTGGTTTGAGAGAGGCTTTGCACATGCTCATCCAGCTTTTTAAAAGATGTCCATTATTCACAAGTAGCTTTCTGGGGTTGCAGCTCAAGCCCTGAGATCCGTAGCTGATTTTACTCATTGATTTTGCTGTAAGATAGATGTTGCAATAGTTTCCCGCTCTCCTGAGCAGTGTGCAGAAATCAGACGTCATGTTTTCACGAAAACCAAAATTGAAATGAAAACTACTAGTGAGTTGCAGGCTTGGAAACTTACCTTGCCACTGGTGGTGTGTCTGCCTAAATGACCACTCAGTACCTCCTTCAAATAATTCACAATTTTATTAAGTTTACCATAGCCCATTAACAGCTTCCTAGTAAGGCACATGGCTAGGCTGTTGTCAGCCACAAAACTGGTTTTCTTTCAAGTTTGTGTTTGTTCTGACAGCAGCTTGATTAATGGCAGACCACTGTCACTGAACATAGCAAGGCCAGGAAAGGCAAGATGCTTCTTTGGTTCAGGTTTGACTGATGAACCAGGAAAAGCTGCAGTGAATGTGATTTTCCTTTTACACGGGGCTTGCAATCAAAACTGTTTCAATGCATATTGACTAATAGCAGCAGGTCAGGAAGTTAATAAAACCTTTGCATCAGAGGAGAGATGGGGTTAGAAAACAACAGCACAACCTTAGTTTTCTTAACCTGCAAAACCACTGCGAAGCTACTTTCATATATCACTCAAGGTCAGTGAACTGAGATATTAAGAGTAATCAACAAGGGAAACTAGATAATATGTGACTTGTAATCAGGATCTTCTACAGCAAGGCTTATGAGATTTTTTTTTTCCTAAGGTATGAAAAGGGTTTATTTAGGAATGTTTAGTTAGTAATATGTGTTTATTATTATTTCTTAAATAGAATCATCATGGTGACATGGGATAAGAGGCTAAAAGGTTAATTCAAGCTGGGAGGAAGCGTTAGAGGCTTCTGTTCCAATGTGCTGCTTAGAGCCATAGTCAGATCAGGCTGCTCAGGGCTTCATCCAGCTGGAATACATAACCCTCTGAGGAGGGAAGGAGCCTGCACAATTCCCTTGGGCAGCCAGTGCCACTGGTTGCCTGGGCTTCTAGTGGAAGCGCTTTCTTACAGCTAGTCTTCGCTTTTCTTGTCACTCACCCTCCCACCATGCCCCTCTAAGAAATGCCCAGCTTCATCTCCCCTGTAGCCCCTCATAGGCAACAAAGGCTGCTGTTAGGTGTCACCTGAACCAGCCCTTCTCCACGTTGAATCAGCCCTGTCTTTCCCATACTGGGGCCTCAGAATGGACCACAGTATTTCAGTGTGCTCTAGTGAGGGCTGAAGAGATGAGGAGTCTCCCCTTTTAACTGACTGGCCATGCTCCTGTTCATACAGTCCAGGACACATTTGGCCTCTGTACCTGCCAGGGCACACTTCTGGCTTACGCCCTGCTTGCTCTCCATCCTGACCCCTGGGACATTTTTATCAGAGCTGCTCCCCAGCCTGGCAGTCCCTAGCCTGTATCACTGCAAGGGGTTATTCAATCCTAGGTCAGGACTGTGTATCTGTTGTTGATTTTGTAAGGTTATTGTTGGCCATAACTCCAGCTTGTTTAGGTCCTCTAAGTGGCAACTCTTGAAAGAACTTGGTTCAGGGCTACTGAAAGCTAAGAAAATTAAGTGTCCCTTGCTGTAAGAGGATTTTAGCAACATTTAATAAAGATTATGACTTAAAGAGTGTACGGGCTTCCTGCAACTGAGCTTTAATTCATAAAAGCTCAGACACCATTTTGGATACAATTTCTTTAAGCTTAAAATCAGTCTTTGTGCAGTAAGACAAGCTGATGAATGTCACCTCTCTTCGAAAACTTTTTAAATTTAGAATAATAGGAATAATTAACCTGTAAAAAGATAAATAAATACATAACATTGTATTTCTTAGCCTATGAAACATTGGTCAGAAATGAGAGACAGAGTATTCTTTCTCATAGTTGCATTTTTCCTTTAATTTTGGAGACATTACTACATCTTAATGTGATAAGCTGTTTAATGTTTATATCCCCTTTGATCTGCACAATGATACAAGTCTGTAGATACCCTCAGGTACCGAAGAAGAACCAAATTATTAAAGGACAAAGAATAATATTTAGGTATCAAGTCCCTTTTTATTTTGTGAACCAATTTTGATAATTTTCTTCATTGTTGGCAGACAAAAATGTGGTCTGTACTGTCTTCAATATCAGATAAAGAGAAGGCTCCAGGCAAGTCTGGAACATGTTACACCACAGGGAGGGAGTTGATGACTTCTGAGACAAATACAAGTCTCAGCTAAACCATACAGAGTTCACAAATCTTACCCAGGGTTACGTTACGCTAATAACTACCCATGCTGTTGGCAGTGTAACAAATAAAAGAATTTTAAAAATGCTGGTTGAACCCCTGCATAGAACAGGTATTTCCAGACATAGAAATATGTAGAGTTAGTCAAACGAATTTAGGTGTTATGTCTAATTTATTAAAACAGCAAAAAATTATTTCTTTCCCTTCCTTCCTCTTGTCTTCCTCCCCACCTTCTTTCCTCAGCAAGCTCCTTTTAATTTCCTAGACTTTTTAGGTTCAAATGCTTCAAAGTAAAAAAGGACAAAGTGCAATCTAATCAAAAGCTGTCATGCAAGGCACAGTTTCCATTAATCCCACTGATAGCTGAATATTGTTTGTGTTTTGGCTAGAGCATGAACAAGTCGAAGAATCATTGTGGAAATAATTTTAGCAGCTTCTAGCTTTTACTTGCGCCCTTGAGAGACATAATAAAATTTCTAACCACTCCAAATGGATGCCTACATCAGGAATCCCAAAAGTCAGAATCTAGAAACCAATGCAGCCAAGACAAGATCATCTGTATTTCTTTCTCCACCATGATTATTTTCAAACGCTTTTTTTTTTTTTATTACCATGTATGTTATTTACGTTATACCGAATAAGAAGTTTTGACTGCCTGTTCACTTTCTATTTTATCTCTCCCACAGCCCTCTATGCTAATTGTTCTTCCATAGAGGTCTCTTCTGTATCTTGTTATAATATATAAATGGAAATCTCTATAGGGTTCTCATTATAAAAAACATTCTTGGCAAAGTATTTTTAATGGTGAATGTGGCAAAGTTGTATAGTATACTGAAGCATACTGTACCTCTATGTTAGATCTACCTGAAGTGCATTAGTTCACCCACATGGAAAAAAGGACATCTCTCAACTTGAGCACTGAACACATATCTTCCTAAATTTGCAACAGACCAAAAGATGACAATACTCAAAGTGTTAATATTGCTAGTATAAGAAGATTCAATGGTAATGGTCTCTGTCACACACTACGTTTTACTCTGCATTAGCCAACCTAGAGAAACAATCCTGCAGTGTGAATATGCTTACTGTATGAACCTGCATACTGTAGGAACCTGCATACTGTGCCTGAAACACTGTATGCAATTTTTTTTGCAGGTCATAAAATACTAGATTCCCTTACCCTGTGTCTTCTTAAGAAAAAACCTAAAACTAATATTATTTGTCTGTCTTCTGTTATCACCCCAGTTATTGAATCTGAGCACAGGATTATTCTCACTTGCGCCATATGAGCAGTTGCTACCTGGTTTAAAAATCAAATTCTGTCTCTGTTTATAATCAGCAAAAGCAAGTCCTTAATAGTAAAAGCAGAATAAGATGATTGGACCTTTGGTTCCATCTGGATCTTTCCACTGACTAGAGATGGAACCTACATAGGTAATATGAACATTAATACCTACCTTTCAGGCAGCTAAAGTTAGGTGAGATTGTCTTAATCAATTTCTCAGTGGATTAGTCAGTTTTTTAATCTGGAAAAACTGTATTTAGAGTTCCTGTTTTATTAATAAACCATGTTTTATATAACCAGCCTTTTTATATATATATGACTACTAAATGAAGATAGACTTACTTGCTAAAACTCGTCTGTATGGATCAGGTAGGTACTCGATAGATTATTTTCTTTAGCCATTCCAGTATCTGAAGGGGGCCTATAGGGATGCTGGGGAGGGACTCTTCATTAGGGACTGTAGTGATAGGACAAGGAGTAATGGGTTAAATCTTAAACA